CGGAGGAATGGTCTTGGTGAGCTCCAAAAAGCGCTTGCAAAACTGAATTCCCAAGAGGATGTCGAAAGCAGAGTGGTGTTTTAGATCCAATCATATAGCAGTGTGCTCCATCTTCTCCCGTATCTTCAAAAAATCCATTACAAGATGATACTTAACCCTTCCTTTTGGTACTACACATTTAAGCAATGGAGCAGCCCAAAACTTTTGACTTTCCTGCCATGGTTTACTTATTTGAGGCACGGAGGTTCTGTAGTGACATAGAAAATCGGGCTAATGGCATAATTCTAAGGATTAAAGATGTTTCAAGTCTTTCATAAATTGATCGCGTTGCTGGCTCAGTGATAGAATCAGCGGTGAACCAAGGAATCCATTGCTGTCAAATACCATAGCCATTATTGGCAACAGAGGATTCTGTTTTTGTTTATGCTTGTTTTTGAGTTCAGCTTAGGGTTTTTTGCTTGCATAATTAAGTTGCTTTCTAACTTCGTCTTCATCCAGCGCAGCTATGTACACCTCGAATGGACCCGTGTCGGGTATCCATCGTTACCGGAAAAGGCGAATGTCAGTATCGACGACGACGCGATTTTGACATTGATGGACGTCAACGAAGGAGATGCAGGACAGTATCGTTGTACGGCAACCACCATCAACTCAATCGCTACAGACGATGCGACTCTAACAATCAGCCATTCATCTAGTCAGTATCTGCTCACTAACAACTTTTAACTCGCTTTTATTAATTGGGTGCTTTCAGCTAAAGCTAATCAAAAGCCATCGTGAAAGCTATACTCACTTTTTGTTTTTTTTTTCGAGTTTTTTATTTCAATTTAAAGCTGAGTTAGTTATCATGCTCTGGCTGCGGATTGAGCAGAGCTGAGCTGTTTCAATTTTTCGGAAAATCTTTCTTCTCAAGGGTGCTTTAACTATATTACATCAGCAAAGATTAAAATGAATAACAATTGAGGCTGAAGTTCACGATAATTTTGAGGCACCCTTTTGAGTTGAAAAAGAGAAGTGTTAATGGGGGATCGAGCGCATCTGTGGCGAAGGAAGTGGAAAAAAATCCGTCGACTTGGTGAAAGAGGAGGTTTTTCAAAGGGAATAAAAATCGAGAATGTGCGAGATCACATGGCGGAAATGGCAAGAAAGGACCGTTTGGACGAGATTCTAGTCGCTGCAGTTGCGTCGGATAACTCGGACCCCATTTTTGTCATGAACTGTGCCATTAACAGCATCTCGGTGGATGGGATTTCCATGACTATTCTGAAAAGAAAAGGAAGTTAGTCAATCGAAAAACAAGTTCACTATCTGCACTTCTCTGGAACTGACTTCGAGTCGTACCTCAGCCGGTACGGCCCGTTTACCGTCTTCATGAAGGTTGGACACAGTCCGTTTTGAACTTCGGAATCCGGTCCAAAAGAGAGCAGTGACAACTACTGCTCTGCTAATGGGGTGGTTTAAGCCAGGGCTTCAAAAAGTAATGGTGTTTTTGGTCCCGAGTAGGATGTTCTTTTCTTACCGAATATAACTCAGCCACAACACGGATGAAGTTACTGAGGAGGCTGCATCTGTTATCTATGGCAAACGAAGTGATGTCCGTTGAACAGGCCCACGTTCACGGTCACAAGGACGGTTTTCATCGCTATCTCCCAGATCGTTTCCCAAAAAGTATGAACTCCTTATACTACCCTTGAAGCCTACAACCACCGTCAAGGAGACAAGGATTAAGGAGGACGTCAACTTATCAGGGCAGATCAGATAGCACAGTTTGGAAAAGGATCTGTGCTCGGAAGTAGGAAGAGAGCACTGAATGACTATTCCGTGAAGCATTCGAATCGTCTGCAGGCATTCTAAGAATTTATTATACAGAAGTATCTGCACTTGAAGGTAGTGATCTCAATGGGAGGTCTGGAGAGACTTTACACAAGTAACTTTATGCAAAAATATATAAAAGTGTAAAAAGGATATTGTCTTGGACAGTCAGTCAATCCCGTCTGAGGGATTCGCCCCGACTCGACTTCCACTCAGAGTTGTAGTGGCGTATTGAATGCGTATGTGACCTAAACAATGAATAGCGCTGACTAGCCAGTGTAAAAGTCCGTGTTTTTATTCTCTCTAACGAGATTGGTACCAATTCACCGACCCCGGAACGATGGAAAGCTTGGTTGGCCGATCCAG